TGCCGGCGAGAACTCTCTCCACTACTTTCACGCTGAGCGACAAGAGCCATTAAAAGATAATACTCGGCGATACTGGCTCAGCGATGCTCGCTTGTCTTAAAACGCGCGCGCGTTCATTTTTGCTCTGGATAGTCTACGCGAGCGAGGGGCGCGAGTTATCGCTCGTCGTTCTCACACACTCAAAATACCCAATTTCAAAAATCAGGGAATAATATATATGTATCTTATAGACCACTTTCACTTTGAAGTATTTTTATGTAAAATGTTAGTTACTAGAATAACGATAGCAAGTTAATTTGATCACTAATGTAAAAATGTTCTGTCGTTTTATGGCGACCGAAACCATTTCAGTATCTCAAACTCCGCCGTGCTGCGGGAGGTGAACCCGACTGCATCTGTACGTACGAGTAATGTACTTCACAAATAAATGTGTGGGTGGGTTATGAGTGTCCTGCTTGTTTCTCTTAATAAATGATGTTGTCAATGGACATGAATTCTGCAAAATTTGGTCACTAGGGGCGCTGTAATCGCTTGACCCAAAACTTCTATCAAATACATACCTATTAGCTTATATTCATGTTTAAGCTTTTTATTAAACAAATTACAAATGCCGCATTGTGCAGTTCTTAGTTGTTGTAAGAAAACTGCATGTTTACCAACTAAAATATAATTTTATATGTTTCTTTGAAAGGGGGGTAAAACTGAGCTGCTATTTACATCATGATATGTATTTGGGACAGGTAATTGCATCTGGATGTCTTCAGTTTGATCAGAAAAAACTGCACCAAATTTAAAATTGCGGTATTATGCCTCAAGACTAAAAAAACACCCAATGTTATACTTCCCATTTTAGCCCAAAGTAACCTAACTCTATGAGATGCCTGACTGATGCAAAAATAAAATAGATTTGATTAATGAGCCCGCTAAAAGTTACTGAGATCCATGAACTATTAAAATAATCATGGAAAATGCATCTATGTGCCGAGAATGAGCATTCTAATAGAAAGAGTACCTTTCTACTAGATCAGCTTTTCTGCCTTGCATAGATGCTCCTCTCCTTATCACATCTGCTTTCAGCTGTATTACAGACCATATTGAATAAATTTTCACCACTTATTTAATTTATTTAACAATAAAAACACGTTCAAAATTTGACAGCTGCAATATTCGGCTAAGGTTTGGGTCAAGCGTTTGCAGCGCCATCTATGTCGAGCTTTGCGTATACTTCTCCATTGATCAAGACTGTATCTCAGTCGTAGATTAATAGCTCTATAAATTATTATTCGATTCCAATTAGAAAAAGGAACTGTCAAAACAATAATCATATACGGAACGATTTTTCAATAGTCCGCATATAAAATTGTCAAGTGTGGACGGGGTTCGCATGTTATGTTTTATTTCGGCGACGATCCGTGTAGGCCGACCGCATGCGGACGCCAGATGGGACGATTGGTTTTTTACGACTTTCATGTTTTACGATGTAACCACCCTAATTCGGCACATTGAAAGATTCGTAGAATCTCTGCGCGAGTATTTCACGATAATAAATAATAAAACGTACCGTTATTTCTTATTTCACTGGGGTTGAGAGAGTACCAACATTAAAGTTACTAAATTAAACCGTTTGAAAGACTAATTTATTTATTTATTGCATGTCACATTACATAAATGATGGTACATTAATTTATGTAAGGTAAATATGTGACGCCCTGCAAGGGCATAGCAAATATCAAGCCAGAGGGCTTGTTAAATAATTATATTATAATACTTTATTCACATTTCATTTTTACACAACAATTACATTTTATATAATAGATTTAACAATTTCAATAAACAACAATAATAATAATAATAATTTCCAGGTGAATCCCTTAGGCATATAATCTCCGGTTGTTCTCGTCTCGCAAATGGCGAATATTTGCACAGACATAACCAAGTGGCCAGGATAATACACCAACAACTTGCTTTGAAATACAATCTTTTAGCATCCGAGGTTCCTTACTACAGGTATGCTCCAGAACAGGTTCTTGAAAATAGCCATGCCACATTATATTGGGATCGATCTATCATTACAGACAGGACTATTGTGGCTAATAAGCCCGATATTGTATTGATAGATCGACACGAACGCCGTGCAGTAGTTGTTGATGTCGCTGTCCCACATGACGACAACCTTGTAAAAGCTGAAAAAGATAAAGAAAACAAATATCTTGATTTAGCTCGCGAGATTGTTGACATGTGGGACATCGATTCAGCAATTGTTGTGCCGATAATCATATCTGCCCATGGTTTGATAGCCAAGAGCCTCGATAAACACCTTAAGAGGCTCGCGTTAGGTGGTTGGGTCAAGAGTCAGATGCAGAAGGCAGTTCTTCTGGCCACGGCCCGTATAGTGAGGAGGTTCCTGTCTCTGGATCCTTAACCGCCGGTAGCAGGGACCCTGATCTTGCTGCCGATGGGGAACTGCATTTTTGTATTTTTAAATATTTTTTTTTTAATGTTATACATTGTAAAAATTTAATATTTAGAAATATAATTTTGTATGTATTTTAATGAAATAAAGGAAATAATAATTTAATTTTTACACAACAAACAATTAAATTTTATAAAATGTATTTAACAATGTCAATAAGCAATAATAATAATTAAAATGTCTACTTTAAAAATTAATTACGTTTGTCGTCAAACAATTATTTTAAATTAAAACATAATTTTTGGACTAATACCGATAACACTTCTGTAATCTTGTACCCAGAAACACTTTATATAATTTAGCATAAATGTTGTCTACCAGGTGGACCGACAATCTATTAAAAGTTCAGCCGATCAAAATGGAGATATTTGGAGGATGTCTAGGCCCAGCAAAGGTCGTCGTATTGTTGAATCATGATGAGGTGTTATTTGAAATGTTAACAGCCTGTTAACTTGTACCTATAATAGAAGGATTTTACTGTCTTCTCTTGGGGTCGGGGTGCGCTGGTGAAGTACGTATTTCTTGCTCATCAACAGTCATCGCAACTGGTTTCCATCAACACTAATACGAACTGTTTTTCAAGCGTATGCTATGAATGTCAATTTATTGAGCACACTCTACAGCCTGAACGTCTCGACGGATATTCACATGCAAAGTGTCATTTGAATCGGTGTGATTGTGCAAGTGACATCAGATATATTAAAATGTCAAAAAAAAAATAAAAATGGCTTATTTTTGGCGCAAAACTAAAACATCTTGTAAACAAATTTGCATCAAATCCATCAAGCGGGGTATCAAAGTGAAAGGTTTCAAAAGACAATGCACAAAATATAAATAAATGTACAAGTTATAAGATATTAAAGAAATATTTTAAGGTATCGAAAATAAAATAATTATTTTATAAAATCTAAAACTGAAAAGAAAAAAATAAGTCCATTATTCTAGTATTCTGCTAAGAACAAAGCACTTTTTTTCTTTTCAGTTTTTTTAAACTTAATTTTGAATCCACCTGCTTTAATATTAGGTTTAAAAAAATATAAAAAAAAACTTTATTAATTTACTTTTTTATAAAAGTCAATAAATAATGCGATTTTTACTTTTTTTGCTGTCAGTGTATGCCGTTAGTTTGCCGCTGTAGAGTTTTTGTCGCAAGTGAATGTAGTTAGGCTGTCGCTCGCCTTACAGACATCTTGATTGATATCGACTCCATATCGAGTGTGACTAATAAGGACCGATGGATGGTTCTGGTCCGCTGATTTATTAAAGCACTATCGACATTTTATTTTAAAACAAAACATCGAAATGACTTAATGAATTCTTATTCTTTTCAATACTGTTGACGTGTTTTATCATAATCCCTCTAATAATATTTCAGAATCGAATTCATCTTATATTAATACTTCTCTTGTTACTTCTTTGGTTATTTATTTATTTGATGTACAAAAAGGTGACAAACATTCAGTACAAAATTATTTTCATTATCACACAAAAAACAAGGATGTAACCTTTAATATGTACATACTGAGTGACTTAATAAATACATGCTAAGCGACAACCAAATCATATTATATTTTTAATTTTTTAAATTGATCACTAGCAATAGTTAAATAATTATAAATGTTACAAATTAGCAATTAGATTCTTCTTAAATACTAAAGACCTACGATCAAATACATCTATTTCTGCTCCATTAACGACGAGTTCATTATATTGGCGACACATACGTGACATAGGGTTATAATAAGAAGTTTTATTGAGATATACAGGAAGAAAAAATGTCATAGGATTTCTAAAGCGATAATTAATATTAAAACTAATATGGGACAACAGGTAGGGAGAATCTAACTGAGAGTGAATCATTTTATGCAGAGTCATTTCATCTAAATATTTCCTACGAAATATCAATGACTGCATGCCAAGTTTCAACAATCAATTTACTTAATTTATTGAACAAAACTGATGTATTGAGGCCCAAGGACGATTTTCGTCTGCTCCATAATAGTATCGCTTCGTCAAAGTTTCTATGAAAACTGAGCAGCGCCCCCTACCGGACATAATAATAAACTGGCTCTTTCCATATAAAATTTAACAATGACGATACGACTACGGATCTATTTAAATTCGTGCTTGGGCCTTTACCGCTTTATTACAAAACGTTGACTAAACTTAAACCTGGTTTAAACTGATGCTGTCACTTTTGTTTACTAAAAAGAAGACTGACACAGCATTAGGTTAAAACCATGACTAAAATTAGTCCGAGTTTAGGAATAAGGCAGTTAATGTCGAGGTTTAATAGGATACTAATAGTTTCATATCGTTATTGAAGTGATAACTTGTTATGGGAGGATAAACTGCTTCGTTACGTAACGCGTTACGCCGCCAGTCTGTCTGGCTTCCCTTCCTCTCACGCATACGGTAACTCTTACCTAAAGCGCAGCTTAGACTGGTTTAAGTTATGACTTCTGTGATACAAACATATTTTAACTCTTTCCTTCACATTAGCTTATTCTACAACTTTTCTTTCCAGTGATGGTGTCCGTAGCTGGTTTTCAGCAGCAGTACTTCAGAGTTGTGCCCCGAAGTCTGAGGGTGCACGAAGGTTCGGAGGCTGTACTGGAGTGTGCAGTCGCCAACCTCGCTGGTCAGGTTCAGTGGGCTAAGGACGGATTCGCGTTAGGTAAGAGATTTTGAGATGTATTTTAATTAGAAAAAGGTACCAACTAAATTGAGAGCCTCCTCTTTTTTGAAGTTGGTTGAAAATGTGGTATACCCGCATGTGTTTCTTTCTACAATCTGGGGTCTTTTTACCCGACTGCGCAATGCAAGAGTGCGAAGCGCGACGTGCAGACAGGGTATAGTGTTTAACAGTCTATAATATGTATGTTTGTTCCTTTATGAACACTAGAGACCAAACGCCTGGACCGATTTTGATGATTCATACATCAATCGATTCGTCTCAATCATGGGAGTGCTACTAAAGATATGATAATAATCAAAAATCAATATGGAGACAACTGGGCGCCATATTGTAAGAAATAAAAAAAATAAGTTGCCGAAATATGTTGAGTGGAGTATCATTGTCTAGGTAATCGAAAATCATGTTTAGGTTACTTACACCATTTTTCATTTTATATGATTGTTTAGGATCTACAACGATTTAAAGTTTTATATTAACCACTTGCGCTTTTAATTTCAATCTAACGTTTGTATGGATCTTTGCAACTCTTTCACTCAAAAAATACTAAATGGATTTTATTCAAACTAACCAATAATAAAGCTCATACATATTAATAGCATATAGATTATAATTTACATTGTTATTTGGTGAATTGACCAAAATATGACAATAAGTGTCACGTGAGACGGAAAAAATCTCCCATCTGCGAGCTATTTTGGAACTCACACTGCAAAAACAATAAAAGTTACATGAATATAATGTATGGTGGAATTGTATCTCTTGTATATAGTTTTACAAAAAAGTCCAGGACAGCATATCTATTTTTAATGTGTAAGCCACTATAGCTAAAATAGTGAATCAAAAATAAAATATTATTTGAAATAAATTTCCAAAATGTGTATATAAAACTCAAAGGTGACTGACTGACATAGTGATCTATCAACGCACAGCCCAAACCACTGGACGGATCGGGCTGAAGTTTGGCATGCAAGTACATGTTATGACGTAGGCTTAGCGGATGCTAAGAAAGGATTTTGATCAATTTTACCCCCAAGGGGTTAAAATACCGAAGCGAAGCGAGGGCGGGCCACTAGTTTTGTATAAACAAACTAGCAAACCCGGCGAACTCCGTTTCGCCACCAGATGGCTTCGTTTTATGTAACATTTCGTTTGGTGATTAAAAGAAGTTTTTTTTTTAATTTTTCCTGAATTTTCTTTGCTATAAACCTCACGGAGCCCGAGACCTTTCCAACGAATGCAAAACCGTGGAAATCGGTTCTTGCGTTCTGGAGTTATAGCGTCAGGAAGGAAAACCCGACTTATTTTTATATAGTAGATTATTAAAGAGGCGTGAAGAAGCATTTCTGATGGCCGGCAAATTGAAGATGGTTGGTGTGATAGTTTATAACTGCTACACCAACTTTCTTTTAAAGGACCCCAGATTGTAGGCAGGATGGAGCACTACCGGAAGCACTAGAGGGGAGGAGTTTTTCACATATTCTCGTTGCAAGCTCCATGTCCAGTCTGGAAAAGTAGAGATTGTAGGAGCGGCGGCATGCTTATCTGGACTCCACTCAACCTAAACATCGAGCGAATTAAACCTGATTTTAGTCTGAGAAAAATCTCTTTTCATTTCGAATTGCAACTTGGCACCGCCTTGAGTTCCCTGTAATTGTGTTTTGGCGACAAATTCTTTTCGTTTCAAGTGAAGAGGGTGGTTTTTTTTTGGCTTTTGCTCCTGCACCATTGAACGAGGGAAATTTAATTAATTTTTAATTCGAATTCTTTGAATACCCTGCTGCCAGCTAAACATTGAGACAATTATTATTAATTGGAGCCAGGACACAATTCTTCTTTATTGTATTGTGTGTATTTGGATTTTCTTTTTATAATATCTCTTATCTATTAGACAAGTCCGTCCGTCTGTCTGTGGTGCTGTTTCAGCGGCCAAACCGTAAGACATAGATAAAGAGAATATTTAAGTTATAAGTTAAGAATAGTCTGATAAGACTACAAACCGGATTTGAGTAACGTAGCACTTCCGGTTTTCGAGAAATCAGGTTTTGGTGAACATTTGGTTCACTGGTTTGCTAGTATAGATATAATATAAGACACAGGTCTTTAGTTTGACCAAACTGATCTGCACTATGGCATAGCAAACTATGCTTTGGTGAGTTCCCTCGCTCCAAATATATTATAACTAGCGAAAGCCTACGGCTTTGTTGTTATCTTTATATATATAATTCTTCTGTGAGTGTGTATGTCACTGAACTTCTCTTAAACGACTGGACCGATTTTGATGAAATTTTTTGTGTGTGTTCAAGGGGATCTGAGAATGGTTTAGATTCACAATTTTGTCCGCTGGACAACCCCTATTTTTTTAGGGCGGTACGAAGTTCGCTGGGTCAGCTAGTATTCTATTATAAGCACAGCACAGCTTAATCAACTTTTTTTTTTAATTTTTGTTCCATTTTCAACCTGCCAAGTTACCAAAAATGTTTAACATACAATAATTCAAAAGGCAAACTTTATTCAGCTCGAGTGTCGCACATGACAAGAGAGCCCCATACACACGATGCTGGGGGCATGCACTGCACTTGATTGTGAAATATGGCGGTCTACAGCATAAGCGGTAGCGGGGAGAAATAACTTCCTACAGTTCGCATTTTGTACACGATATTTGGCCTTTTATCAAAAGTAAAATATGATGTAAAGAAAAGAAAATAAGGGTTTTTTTAAGATATACTTGGAGGGAAACTCTAGGAAGTTACTAAAGAAAATCCGTCGGAAAAAAGTGGTGGTCCATGATGGCACAGGCCTTCCCTATGGAGTAGGGAGATTGGGCTATGACCCACCAGGCGTGCCCAGTGCGGATTGGCGGGTGCTTACGACTGCAGATGCAGCCGCGACCTACGGCTTAACATGCCTTCTGAAACACGGAGAAACTCGAGTTAAAAAAAATTTTGTTCACCCATCCTATGACCGACCACTGCGAAAGTTGCTTAACTTCAACAATCGCAGCCGAACGCGCTAACCACCTGCGCTATCCAGCTCCACCTCGTATTTGCTCGTATGCCCCCTAAAATATATATCGCATTTGTTTCTTAGGTTTTCACGCACATCACTCATTAAATAAAACCAATTTTGGAACCGGTGGTAGTTTACGGTAGTTAGGGTCAAATAAATAAACTCAAAATTACAAAAAAGAATTTTAAATAAAATACTTTATTAAGTAAATTAAATAATAAATTCATACATAGACAATAACACTTAAAAATCGAACAATGTAATAACCAAACGCTCAATAAAAGTCTTTCGATGGTAGCTCGACAAATTAAATAAAAGTTTTATTCTGACGACGAAGCCTGTAAAGGCTACGAAACGTCAATAAATAAATAAAGTTTCGTGCATTAACCCGTAAAAACTAGTTTAATATATATCGCAGTTAAAATCTCTAATGTTTTCCAACTCTTATGACTTGGACCATTCTACAGATATTCGCCCAAGCATTCAATGCGTCACCCGGTGGATTCCCAACAATCGGCTTTTGCCTAAACTGGCCTATTCAATCTACTCTATACGAGCAACATACTCCTCTCGTGTGCTTTTAATAGGGTCAGATCAGAACACAACTAGTACACTATGAATAAATAAATAGTTCCAACACTCACATCAATGAGGGCTACCGTTTTCTGCATCACCAGATGGCGCCACTGTTGAGTGAGGTCCTAAATTGTAACTTTTAAAGTTTATTAATACGCACATGAAATCAAAGGTTACATTTAGATTGTATTTTAACACAAAAGAACCATATCCTAAACATAATAGGCCATGCCACAGTGACGCGCAGTTCCGTTTTATTCGGAAAAAATGGGAACATAATCATTTTTCTAAGCTCAAATTTTTAATAACTGACATTCATTGTCACATAACTCATATTTGCCATAATTAAGCCGAATTGTTACCAATTATTTACAACATTATTTTAATTAGAAATAAACCCGCGTAGTCAACCAACAAGCAATAACATTTGACATTTCGGAGACCTCACGCTACACTAGCGCCTCTAGCGGCGGATTCATAAGCGATAGCCCTCATTAGCCCAGCCCCAAAGTAAGCACTATAAGACTTGTGTTATGGGATACTATGGTAACGGATATAAATACGTTTTCATTATCATTATTATGAGCTTATTTATATCGCCACTTCTGGGGCACAGGCCTTCCCTATGGATGGAGTAGGGAGATTGGGCCACCACGCGGGCCCAGTACGGATTGGTGGGTGCTAACGACTGCAGACGCAGCCGGGAACAACGGCTTAACGTGCCTTCCGTTCCGTGATTTTTGGTCACCCATCCAATGACCGACGACTGCAAAAGTTGCTTCACTTCTACGATCGCAGCCGACAAACAAAAAAGTGATCCTATAAGGGATCCGTTTTTTTCTTTTGAGGTGCTGAACCCTTAAAACATGTATATTTATATATTTACTTCCAGAGATATCTATAGGCCAACTTAGTGTTATAACTTTCAATGGTCTTTAGCAAAAATATAATATGTTTATATTTGAGCAATAATTTTAAAACCAACGCGAAAAATGCCTAATTAATCACCTTCAAAAATGATGAATTAAGGATCTTGTTTTTTTCAAAGTTGGTTAAAAAGCAATCATTATTTATTACCAAATGCCGTATATTATTAGCGAAACCACCGAAGGACCGTTTTGAAACCAATCTCACGGTATTAAATGCCGGCGCGCCGCCGCCCGCGCCACAATTAAAACCTATTGATGGATTAAATGGCGCAATCCAAAAAATCCGTATGAAAATTGCGCATTCGCTGATGGAGCTAGTAACGTGGAAAATTATTTGGTCACACTATAACCACGAAATGATAGCGCAGAAGGTAATCTGCATACAAAATGCGCTCGAGCAATGCGCACATATTTTTTAATTTGTAATATAACAATAACATTAAAATGTTAATACTTATAAGAAAATTTTACTAGAAAAAAATCCGCGCTGACCAGGTAACAGACGGGAATGGAACACGCACCCTTCGCTATCCGGGCGAATGCACTGACCATTATGCTACCGCGGCCCTGACGGCCGTGTCGAATTTTCTCTAGCCTTTTTTTAAGTTGCAAGGCAGATTTAAACTTCCGGCAGTTAAATGCTTAAAATAAATAAATAACTATTTTTGTTATTATTAGTTTATACTTTCCGTTCTTTCTGCTTCGTTCTCGACAACACTCTAATATGGCTGACACGGTTTAAGTTGCTTAGCTAAACATATGCTTTATATGCGAACACTTTTTGTCAACCCCATTTAATGCATATAAAGAGTATTCTATTCTATAAATCAAACAACTAGATATGGGTGCTAATATAATACGATAGTTTTTGGCACAAGTCAAAGTTGACAATCCCAGCGCGACCTCCGAGCGTAGGTATGAAAAGTGAAATACAATTATATGAGTTTACATTCTGTACGAAGAGGAGCTCGATGGCGCGGGTGGTTAGCGCTTTCGGCTGCGATCCTTGAAGTTATGCTACTTTTGCAGTGGTCGGTCATTGGAAGGGTGACCAAAAATCTTCTATCTCGAGTTCCTGCCTGCTTCGGAAGGCACGTTACATCGGGCCTTTGGTCTCGACTGCATCTGCAGTCATTACCACCCGCCAATCCGCATTGGGCCTGCATGGCCCAATCTCCCTATTCCATCCAAAAGGAAGGCCTGTGCCCCAGCAGTGAGGACATTAATAGGCTGTATATTGTTTTAAACTTTCATGGTCACTAACATTATAGTAATATAAGTTATTTACGGGTAATATAAGTTATAAGTCAGTTACTCCGTGATCATGGTGCTTGCAACAGTGCCGACATATCGGAAACTCGCTGAAAACAAGGACATACATCCCGTAAATAACTTATATTACTACTAGCAAACCAGTGAACCAAATGTTCACCAAAACCTGATTTAAAGAAAAAAAATGTATTTAATTAATTGAGATCTTCGGAGATTTTGTGTGGTTTCGTTTGAAATTCGTGATTTCTCGAAAACCGGAAGTGCTACGTTACTCAAATCCGGTTTGTAGTCTTATCAGACTATTCTTAACTTATAACTTAAATATTCTCTTTATCTATCTCTTACTGTTTGGCCGCTGAAACAGCACCACAGAGGGACGGACGGACATGATGATGACATTCTGTGCTATCTATTTTTTGCTGTAACGTCGACCGGTGTACGGTGCTATGCTATTGAGCAAGTAATTGTTTTAGATAGAATCGAAACGGTAATAACTATAGATGGATTGATGCATCGATATACATTAATAGTTTTACATATAAAATGGTGATGATTCATAATCGAGTACCGTGGAGTTTCAACACGCGACATGATTTGTTCGTCTATCAGTTTTAATAAAACTAAATACAGGTGATTGTATCATCATCAGTCTAAATGTCCCCACTGCTGGGGCACAGGCCTTCCCTATGGATGGAATAGGGAGATTGGGCCGTGTCCCACCACGCGGGCCCAGTATGGATTGGTGGGTGCTAACGACTGCAGATGCAACCGGGACCAACGGCTTAACGGTACGTTAAGTTAAGTATATTTTTAAGGTTTGTCGTTGTACTCATATGTGTAGCCAGTGCCGTCTTTGACCTATTGAAGGCAATGGGCATATTAGGATAATAATAATAATAAATATATCTTGATTCAAATAAGGTCATACATTGCATAATAATACTAATAACAATATAAAGTACAAAATAATGGATGCCTGAACTAGGTTACAGTTAAAATTGTACCTGTATTTCAGGCTTAATGGGGCCCCTATGACCCCCGTTTTGTGATTTAACAGGAACTAGGGACTTTGTATTTGATCTGAGGGGGGCAACGGCTTCACGTGCCTTCCGAAGCACGGAGGGGCTCGAGATAGTAAGTTTTTGGTCACCCATCTGATGACCGACCACTGCGAAAGTTGCTTAACTTCAACGATCGCAGCCGAACGCGCTAACCAGTTGCGCCATCGAGCTCCTCAGTGATTGTATACTACGTTTAGATTATTGTATAATTCATATCGGATGGGGAGCTCGAGGGCGCAAGTGGTTAGCGCGTTCGGTTGCGATCGTTGAAGTTAAACAACTTTCGCAGTAGTCGGTCATTGGATGGGTGACCAAAAATCTTCTATCGCTAGTTCCTCCGTGCTTCGGAAGGCACGTTTAGCCGTTGGTCCCGGCTGCATCTGCAGTCGTTAGCACCCACCCACCAGGCATGTGTGGTGGATCATATCCCAATCTCCTTATTCTATCCATGGGCTAGGTCTCTGCCTCAGCAGTGGGGACATTAATGGGGTGATGATGATGATTCATACTGGACATTGTCGTGTCCGCGTCATGCCGTGTTATCTTAAAACACACATAAGATAGAGCTTTTTACCTGGAAAAACGTTAAATATATACACTTTGTAGCGCAAATGTAGCTGCGGCGAAAGATCGTGCCCGATCGTGCGCAAGTCGGGCAATTACCTGACTTTCAAGCGTTTTTCAAGCGTGTATGACGTATCTGTAACTTTACACAGTCTTCTCATCGGGTTATGGGCTCTTTCTCGTACTAAGCTAGTCCATACAATACCTGCGCCCCAGCAGTGTAGTCATTAGAATGTTAATAAAGTCATCTCATTCTTTTTTTATTGTCTGCGAAATATCCTTACGCATCCTTCAGCTATCAGCGGAGCAAAAAAAAAGATATCGGAGGACTCCTCTCTGCACATGTCATCGAGAGCTTGATAAAATTAGCTGGGCCTAGCTCGACACCCTTCCCAGTAAAAACCAGTCAATATTTCTACACCATTCACCCGACACGCATTCTGAGAAGGAGGTCTTAGATTCTTGATGCGTGAGGTAGTACGTGGCTGCGGCACCCTTTGCAGGGCCTTACAAACATCTTCCAGGAACGGCGGCCCTCCTAATGTGGTTCTGTCTGCAAGGAGAGGGTGGCGGAGGGCTTTAGCCTTCTGCAGCGGATGGGGGGCGGTATGGTGGGCAGTAGGCCACGTACCCAGCCCCCAAGCGCGGGCCTACCTGCGCACGTCTGCGGGGTCCCCGAAATACCGCGGGAGACCCCTGCCGTGGAGCCCCGGCGAGGCCGGGAAGCTGCTGGGGGCGAAGCCGTGGTAGACTCCCTAAACGGGGACCCCGCGGCTTCGCGCTAAGCAGTGTAGAGGTATTCGCAGGACTTTTTTAGCGGATATTATACCGTAAAGCGCCCGTAAGAGTTGCGGGGTCCCAGGTGGGCATCCACTATGGGGGTTCGTAAGACTTGCGGGAGCCAGGTGCGAGGTCCGTTCGGCGGTGTGCCTCTTACAGGCGCCGTCGTCTGTAAAAAGATTTTTTACCTGCGATTAAAAAAAAAAAGGGCCTTACAAACATCGTCTCACCCAACTTTCTTCCCACAGGATTCTCCTCCGTGATACCCGGCTATCCTCGCTACACTATGTTTGGGGATCGCCGCCACGGCGTATACAACCTTCGAATAGTCAACGCGTCCTTGGAAGATGACGCCGAGTACCAGTGCCAAGTCGGACCGGCTCAGATGCACAAGGTGATACGCGCCAACGCTTCGCTGACCGTTATATGTAAGTATTTCTTTTTGTATTGCATAAAATAAATAATGTAGTCATTTTTCAATTTTGTATTTACAAATTTAGGGCGTCCCTAAAGTTTGTACTGGCAAATTTTGTTGGCGCCTAAAGTTTGTATAAAAATTTAGGAGGTGCCTAAAGTTTATATTTGAAAATTTAGGAGGTGCCTAAAGTTTATATTTGAAAATTTAGGAGGTGCCTAAAGTTTATATTTGAAAATTTAGGAAACGCCTACAATGGATGTGATGGTAAAAGTAATAAGGAGAAAAATACTTCTATTTCCTTAAAAAAAACTTTGGGGTTCAACATGGATTTAAGAAGAAAATGTCTTTCAAAAATGCTGCCTAAATATTGTTTAATGTCGTGTTTAACTTTTTTGTGGGTACAATCTCCAAAATTCAAGAGGTGGGTGCCTTGATGTCGTACCTACTTGAAAATTTAGCAGCGCCTTTGATAATTATTTATTAAAATATTATGATATTAAAAGGAGAAAAAAATACAGTGTAAATGAGTACGAAGAGAAGTTATTACGTAAGACGTGTTTGAACGAACTGCTTTTTTAGCATTATAATTTGTTATAAATTAGGTTTAATTGTAAAATAAATGACATAGTTTAATAAAGTAATTAAATAACTACTGATTCAAGTTTCGTTCAAATATTTAACGTTTACCATTTTTTTGTGAGTTATTAGTGAGCCGTCATTATATTACCCAGATTATACCAATCGCGTTCTCAATTTCAATCTAATTATGACGTTAGCTATACGTAACGATATCGACGGCGGAGGAGCTCGATGGCGCAAGTGGTTAGCAGCTATTTAAGCAACTTTCACAGTGGCCGGTCATTGGATGGGTGACCGAAAATTTACTATCTCGAGCTCCTCCGTGCTTCGGAAGGCACGTTAAGCCGTTGGTCCCGGCTGTATCTGCAGTCGTTAGCACCCACCAACCCACACTGGGCCCGCGTGGTGGGTCATGGCCCAGCTATTCCATCCATAGGGAATGCCTGTGCCCCAGCAGTGGGGACATTAATAGGCTGATGATGATGATAATGATGATACTTAACTACACCAAATTATAATCAAAACAAAATGATACTTTTAATAATATTTATTTATTTTGTAACATAAAATAGTCGCTTATGACAACATCAGAGTTATAAACATCTAATAATGTTTGTTCTAGAGAAAATGTACAGACGAAATCTAATTAAGTCTAATAGAAAAACAAAGGCTGGGAAACAAGCAGAAGTCTAATCAATCATGAAGTTTTTTTAATTAATCACCGCAAGTAGCTGAGCTGAGAAGACGAGGCACTCTGTTAGTTAAAAAAAAAAAAAATTAAAAAACTTATCTCTTGTTTTGTTGCTTAAAATCGATTTAGTGCCCGCTCAGTGAAACAAATCAAATTATAAAATTATTACTATGAACGCTAAGTAAAGTAATTACAATTAGTTTTATTAAAACTGCGATGAAAATGTGAACGCGAACAAAACCAAATATGTTTACTCCAACACGTTCGGAAAATTGAGCATTATTTTCACAAGCTTCTTTCAGATAATTCAAAATTGTTGTACTGAACAAATATATGCGAGCATCGGTCCCGGGTTCGAATCCCGGTGGGGGCAGATATTTGTAATAAATAATAAATAAATTATGATTTTATTTATTTTTTCAGCATTTAACTGCTAGATGTTTAAATCTAAAGAAAAGTTTACTAGAAAAAAATCCACGCGGACCAGGCAGCGGACGGGACTCGAACCCGCACCCTTCGCTATCCGGGCGAATGCACTGACCATTATGCTACCACGGCCCTATTAGCCGCGTCGAAATTTTCCTAGCCTTAAGCTGCAAGGCAGCGCCATCTCTTCGCATTGTAGGTAATAAATAAATATTTCCAACACACCAATTAGCCTAGCCCCAAAGTAAGCACCACTATAGGCTTGTGTCACGAGATACTAGGCTAACGGATAGAATACATACACTGATACATATATAAGTATATTAATATAGAAAATACATATTAAACAGCCATGTCTGGAGTACAAATGCTAGTATTCATCACACATACACCTGCCCCCTCCGGGAGTCGAACCCGGGACCTCTCGAGTTGGCGATACCATGAAACCCGGCGTACAAACCACTCGGCCGCGGAGGCCGTCGTTTATGTTGTTATTTGTGTGATGAATACGAGCATTTGTACTCCAGTCATGGATGTTTAATATGTATTTCTATGTAAATATATTTATATATGTATCAGTCTATGTATTTTATCCGTTACCCTAGTATCCAATACCATAAGCCTACAGCTGCTTACTTTGGGCAAAAAACAAATGAACACTACAATATGAAAATATACTATATCTTTATATATATAATTCTTCTGTGAGTGTGTATGTCACTGAGCTTCTCTTAAACGACTGGACCGATTTTGATGAAATTTTTTGTGTGTGTTCAAGGGGATCTGAGAATGGTTTAGATTCACAATTTTGTTCGCTGGACAACCCCTATTTTTTTAGGACGGTACGAAGTTCGCTGGGTCAGCTAGTACTATATGAAATATAAAAATCTTCATAGGTACTACTGAGTTTTAAATTCCGCGCATTATTTGAGAGTTCTTTATGCCTTTACTACAATGAAGGCTATCGCGTATGAATCCGCCGCTAGAGGCGCCTATGTAGCTAGAAGTCTCCGAAATGTCAAATGTGGTTTAACTACGCAGGTTTAAAGTGACATCAATGCTTACCCATCCTAAAAAACGACTTCTAACAAACCTCCTTACCGATCCTAGAAATGACTTCCAACAAACCTCCTTACCCATCCTAGAAACGACTTCCAACAAACCTTACCCATCCTAGAAACGACTTCCGACAAACCTTACCCATCCTAGAAACGACTTCCGACAAACCTTACCCATCCTAGAAACGACTTCCGACAAACCTTACCCATCCTAGAAAGACTTCCGACAAACCTTACCCATCCTAGAAAGACTTCCGACAAACCTTACCCATCCTAGAAACGACTTCCGACATACCTTACCCATCCTAGAAACGACTTTCGACAAACCTTACCCATCCTAGAAACGACTTCCGACAAACCTTACCCATCCTAGAAACGACTTCCGACAAACCTTACCCATCCTAGAAACGACTTCCGACAAACCTTACCCATCCTAGAAACGACTTCCGACAAACCTCCTTACCCATCCTATGAAACGACTTCCGACAAACCTCCTTACCCATCCTATGAAACGACTTCCGACAAACCTTACCCATCCTAGAAAGACTTCCGACAAACCTTACCCATCCTAGAAACGACTTCCGACATACCTTACCCATCCTAGAAACGACTTCCGACAGACCTTACCCATCCTAGAAACGACTTCCGACAAACCTTACCCATCCTAGAAACGACTTCCGACAAACCTTACCCATCCTAGAAACGACTTCCGACAAACGTCCTTACCCATCCTATGAAACGACTTCCGACAAACGTCCTTACCCATCCTATGAAACGACTTCCGACAAACCTCCTTACCCATCCTATGAAACGACTTCCGACAAACCTTACCCATCCTAGAAAGACTTCCGACAAACCTTACCCATCCTAGAAACGACTTCCGACATACCTTACCCATCCTAGAAACGACTTCCGACAGACCTTACCCATCCTAGAAACGACTGCCGACAAACCTTACCCAACCTAGAAACGACTTCCGACAAACCTCCTTGCCTTTCATTCATCATCATCAGCCTATTAATGTCCCCACTGCTGGGGCACAGGTCTTCCCTATGAATGGAATAGGGAGATTGGGTCATGACCCACCACGCGGGCCCAGTGCGAATTGGTGGGTGGACTTTCATTGTTGAAACGAAAACAGAACAAAATCGCGTTTTACTCACTTTTTAGTCCATCACTTTATTAATGAACCATCGTCCGTGTAAGTTCAACTACAAATTGAATGTTTCTCACCAAATATGGGTTGTTATTACGATTTTTATGACGTCACAGGGGAGTTTTACTACCCCGCACGCGAGTGCTAAGCCCTCCCAATAATATATATTTTTCTTGACGGGAACTCGTAAAAAAATATATTAGGGAAGTACGCCGCAGCTTCCTGTGTTATTGTCACAGATATATTCTTATATGTATGTCAATAAAGAAACGTGCTTATAGACAATATTTTTTAAAAATTCTTGCGTTTTAATAATATTATAGACTAGTCAGTGGCTTCTGGCGCTAGATGGCGCAAGTGGTTTGAGCGATCGGCTGCGATCGTTGAAGTTAAGCAACTTTCTCAGTGGTCGGTCATTGGATGGGTGACCAAAAATTTACTATCTCGAGCTCCTCCGTGCTTCGGAAGGCACGTTAAGCCGTTGGTCCCTGCTGCATATGCAGTCGTTAGCATCGTTATGGTGAATTCATAAGGGTACTCATAACTGTGCTGTATAAACAGCTCACAGAATTCTACTATATAACTGTTAAGCATTATAAAATATTACCAGAACACTCGCCAATTGCAATAATAGTGCCCTTAAGCGCAAAGTCTTGTAACTGAAGATGGAGAAAAAGGCGTAAAGTTGCTTTTTATATGAAAAGCTTAACCCTGGTTGAATCAAGAAGCCTGGGTCAGATATACGAGTACGGGGTCGGCGCGACCCGGTTTTATAGCTGTGAAGGGTTAAGGATGATAGGTTTTCGTGTAGCGCTCTGGATTTTAGGGTTGTGGTCGAGTTGAGTGAGGTTAGCCGCGTCGATATCTAGATTAGATCTGAGGTTACAATTCTTGAAGCAAAAACTATTTACGATAAAATATAATGACAGTGTGTTTATTTACCGCATAACTTGTTGAGAGTATAATGAAAATAAAGAAACAATGTTATTATTATTTCTGAAGCCCTTATGAAGATTTCGGTTCCATGCTACCACTCAATGTTATTTGATATATCTGTAATCGGTTTTCGATTAAAACAAAATTAATATAAGCACTAAACA